GAAGACACTTCCTTTTTTCCGGACCCGAGTCCGAATAATATTTTTTCATATTCGGACTCGAGTCCGAATAAGAAATTTTTGTATTCGGACTCGAGTCCGAATATAAAAAAATGTTATTCGGACTCAAGTCCGAATAAAGACGGCCTTGCTTAGATACACCAGAGGTGTATACCTACTGAAAAATGACCAGTTACGGCTCAACAACAGATGATAAAAGAATATAAAATCTATTAATAATCATTTCCATCTTTTTCTTAAAGCTGGTATTTTAGAATGAACCATTCAAAAATGATAAATCATCAAATAAATACAATCATTTTCAAAGCACAAAACGCGATAAACTCAACAATTAGAATCTAATAGCCTACCTTAGCACGGCGAAACAAGTGATAACACACATACATAGAAGTGTGTACTCGCGCAGCTGGGCCGCGCCACTTTATCGATCTTGGCCAAGAGACGCTCTACGAAATGAAGATACCTTACAAAGACATTGGTCACTATTTATAACTTTGACCTGTAATTTACTTCGTCATTTTCCATATAAAAGGAATACTGAAATTTTTTCAATCGAAAAAGGTCAGTGTCTCTATGCCCTTTATAATAGAGGGCCTGCGCGCTTCCCGCTCGAAGTAGGTCAGCTCGGCCCACGCCCTTTATATAGGGCCTGCGCGTTTCCAGGGTTAAGTCAAGTGTGTGTGTAGAAAGTAGCAAAGTCAAGTCAGTAAATAAATGAGGAAGTGTAACCTCAAGTTTATCTGTGCCAAATAAAGGTGGCTGTAGAAGGCTAAGTGACCCAGACTGAAAATATAAGTTCAATTTTTAACTCTTGTCCTGCGTTTGTGCTGAAATGGGAATCTTATCAGCATCCAATTACGTCGGACGTTCCGGGCAGGCCGCCGGGGTCACTCAATGTACTGTTGGCGTACAGCGCCTGGAAATGTGCATTTTCGCTGTGAATACCGTGGGAGTGTGTTAATCGATAATGAAAATAACCCTCTATCTTTCATAGCTTTCTATTTATAAAGTGTTACAAACACATGAAAAGGGGGCTCTCGTGGCCTAGAGGTTAGGTGTTGGCCTCTCATTCAAAGGTCCCGGGTTCAAATCCAGGTAGTGACGGAAAAATTTACTTATTCTCTAACTTTGTCTCCTTTCACCTCCTTTCTTGCTCTCTAGCAATGTTCTGTCGTCTGCTTTCATCTCCTCTTTCTGCCCCCACTCCCTCACCTTCTTTGCCCCCCTCCTTTGGGCTCCTGATTCTTTCTACAGCCTTTCTACTGCTACTCCTTGGCTTCTTCTTACTGCTGTCTGTCCTGGGGTTCGAAAGGGGATTTAAAATAATATAGTTATAGGTCAATTTCCGAATGTTTTGCACTCAAATTGTTCTCTTTGTACCTACTCACTGGTATTCAAAATTATCGAACTGGCTTATTTTTTATCAGGTAGTATCAACAAAATCAAGCTCATTTGAAAGATTTTGTATAGAAAAATGGAAGTCTTGTTTTCTAACTATCCTTTCGAGCTCCTCATGTCTAAGTGGGTCAATTTGTTTTATAATTTCATTGGATGAACGTCTAGAGCTACTAACTTGGCATGTTTTGAATGAGACGTATGCCTCGGTTACGAACCAACGCAGGCGGTTCTAGAAAGGCCGCAAATGCACACAAATTCAAGCAGACTAACGCACGCACACTTGAGCTGCGTGAATGTGGATCTGGCGCGGGACCTGAATTGAACAGGAGATATGCTTGCGCGTGTCCGCTGAGCCAGGGGCCAGACTGACGCGGGACCAGAACGCAGGCGAGGTGCCGAAATAGGCTTATCGGGCGACATAAACCCGGCCCCCGCAAGACGAGGGTTAAAAGTTGAAACCATTTTTAAAAAATGGCTTTAAAGCTCAAGTAACAACAGCGGTCACTTTTTCACCAGTTTCCAGTGCCTGGACTAGTCTTCTATTTGTTTGTAATTGATGATATCAAGCAGAGAAGGTTTCTCAGTCAGTAGTCATAGCCTATATATGTAGTAGCTATGGCTGAAATAGAGGCAGGTCTCATTCTCAGTCAATCTCCTGCTTAAAATCACCACACATTGCATTCTGTTCTTTTTCTCACCCATAGCCACTCTCACTGGCCATCCTTCTACTTTATTTGTTCTGTTCTGGTTTCATGATATCTCTGGGGGTGGGGGCAGGGTGGGGGGAGAGGGAGGGATAGATAGAAAAGGCTTGAAATATATAAATCCTTAAATTTTATATTTAGTCTAAGTCTATGGACGTGGTTATTCTCACACCGGGTGAAAATAACCTATGTCTCGCTATTCTCACCCCCTCGTTTTACCGGAAATGACCGTAGAGGGATCAGGGCTGAAGTTACCGGACTAAATTAGGCTAATGCTCCACAAGATCATGTTCGTGTCCAAATAGTCACAGTCAGGGTTGTCAGTTTGAAGTTGGATCGCGTCTGGCACGGAGAATTTTATATTTCTTTCTGGCTCTTTTTTTTGGCTCCAAACTCCAAATGTTCAAGGAGAAGGGGAAAGAAGAGGCAAGAAAAAAAAGAAAAGAAAAGAGTTAAAGAAAGAAAATGAAAGTGAATAAAAGAGCTTGGATTGCTTTTAAAGTAAAATTATTAAACTAGTTAACACGATTTAATGCCCTCGCCCATTGGTCTGAATAATTTACAACCATTCTATCGTCAGGCAAGAGCATAAATATTCTCGTGATCATGTCTCGTTACGTTTGTACACGTTCTTTGTTCTTTGAACCATAATTTATTGTGTGCAGCAAATTGTCCGGCTGGTTCCACATCCTGTGCAGTAGCGTTGGTAGTGAGACATAATTATTTTTTACTGGAGAGGCGAAAAATGTTTTTACAAGATTTTATTTAGCAAAGTTCTGGTTAAGATTATCATATAATATATTATACATATCTGTTTCAAAAGTCTGCATCGTAATTTTCCATATCTCATATCCCGACTTTTATTCTGTAAGAGCGCTCCTTCATCTCATGGGATGGAATGCTTGAAGCAGGCAGAACTATTATTGTTTATCATTTTAAAAAATCAAGGGCTACAACACTGTCGATGTCCAGGGGTGGGGGGGGGGGGGGGGGGGTGAGAATAGCGGGTCATGAGTTATTCACACCCCTGTGAGAATATGGGTCGCCTTGGTTTACATTACAATTTTGAATGTGAGAGGTTCATCGGTTAGTCCCCTCTCCATTTGAGCAAATTTTCCTCTCTCCAGTCTCCTTTTGAGCCCCCCCCACCCCCATTTTAAGAACAAATTAAGATAAAATCATTATTAGAGGTCAACAAATTGTGTGTGTAATCAATTATAAAGTAATATTTAATGAATGAGTGTGTAAGTGTAGCCTAAGTTAAACAACTATAGTCAAAGAGGTACTTTTTTTTGGTATTTATTTTCTCTTGATGTTCTGATTTTGTCAATTTCAGGTGCTAGATCCTTTCAAGGCTCAGTGGGTGAAAGTTGTGCCAACGCCTAACAATGGTTCAACAGAACTGGTCAAATTGCATCATAGAAAAGTAAGCTGCGATTCCTGCTATCTTTTTAATGTAAACTGTTTTTTTTTCAAGTAGAAGAGATTAAATAGTTGTCTCAAATGATGATGTCTGTTTCTGTTCATTATTTCTTTACTGGTTTATGTGAAGGTTTTTTAAAAATATGGTCATAATTTTGAAACCCCCCTCCTCAACCTTTTTTTTCTAGTTGCTTTTGTTATGGGCGAAAAAGAAATTTGTTGAGTCCTGATTGTTGTTACCTAAATGAGTGTAGAGAAAAGATATTAAGCTATAGAATATAGGGCAATTCCCAGTAACTGCTAAGTATATTTTGCGGTCAGTTAGCCCGTTGTTCTCTTTAGAATATGAATAAATGAAAAATAAGGGAAGGGCAAAGGAACTTTGGTATCAAGCCCTCACTTGTGGCTAACCGGTGATAACCGAATAATGGCCTGTCATATTGATTTGTTACATGATACTGTTTGTTGCTGCTTATAACATGTGGCAACGAACGGAAAAAGGGTCACATGTAACATTGAAACAGGATGATGGTGACTGAACGAATGGTGATGGGGGAATCTCTGAAGATACAGTAGTCTCATTTGTAGGTACAAACAGGAGGCCAAGGACAAGTGATTATTTGTCTTTTTTGACTCTTTTGTTACTGTAAAAAGTAAAACTTAACTGGCATCTATGGATGTGATGTTTTGGCTCTCTGCCATTGCTTGCAGAAGATGTGATTTTGATTCTTAAACGGTGAAATGTTTCATCCAGCATATCCATCTGTCAGACCGGATACCGTATTCCTCTCGGTTAAAGGACAGTCCCGACAGGTGTGGTTGAGGCAGCCTGCCTCTTAACTGATTTAAATTGTAGCGTTAGAAGTTTGAAACACTTGCTGTCATTACCATCAATCAATTGTCATTACCATCAATCAAACTCAAAACTTTGATTGTAAAATATATTCGTCGTTATTTTTCTTTCAGGATGATGGAGATGATCCGCTGTGGTTCTATTTCCAAAAGGCAAAGTACTTATATGACGATGAGGAGCGGAAGCAGTTTGTGCCGGTCTCCTTCCCCATTGACCAGTCCATACAGTTCTACATGGACTGGAGGGGCTACCAGAAGGAAGAGGAGGCGCTGGCCGCTGATAAAAAATATGGGAAAAACAAGTACGTCTCTCTTGTCACCCCCTCCACCCCCCCCT